AAATGAAGGCAAACATGTTTTGCTACAAATGATACTCTAACAATTTTTTAGCTTTAACATTAAGTCCTAATTTCGATTGCGCGTAATGCAGCGCTCCTCCACATTACAAAATAAGTTTGAAGAATTAAGGACTGTGACATTTGTACAAAAACAGTTCATCATTTTCAATGCAGCCGTTCAGATATGTAGATCTGTTCTCCGTTTCAAATCGCTAGCTATCTGAGCAGGAGATCTAGAAATGTCAAACAAAGGAGCTAAAATATTAAGTTTGGTGGAACATGTCAAGTATAACTTTCCACCCAATTAACGCCACAAAACAGAGCCATTCTACATGATGCGACCTTGATTTTAAGTTACGATAAACGGGTTGTTGGAGGTTCATGTCATTAGTGAAACAGCCAAAAAGTGATTACAAATATTTTTTCCTGAGCATCCTTCTTTTAAAGTTATAGAGAGCTTAAAAAAGCGGAATATAGAAGAAAACGAATGCAATGGAAAGCTGTTGCATATTAACACGCTCTTTTTAGTTAATGAATATATGGACGCTTAGACTAGAATACGAAAAAAGCTATTTTCTTTTCAGTAACCTGTAATAAAACAGATGTTTTACTTGCAATCGGCGAATCGAATAACTACACCATGTCTTTCTACGAAACATGAACTTTTACCAACTGTACAAAGAAAGAAATCGTAAAGAAACTGCTGAAGTAAATATACATGACTTTGTCTTCAAAAAATACCTATAGTAGTTGGATTCTAGGCACAATCTAATTTGAATTTTTGTGGGATTGTGAAATACTTATCGTTGTTTTTTAAGAGACATACACTCCAATGTGGCGCCTCTAGTCAGTTAGGGGATTTTTTGCACACTTATGTAGATTCTTTTCAACAAGTTCTATAATTTTCGAAGTTGCATACTTCCTTTTTTGCACTTCGTTTCAGCTTTCAGGTACGGTAACAACTTTCTGCTGAAGTTTTGTTTTGGTTTTCCTTATTTGTTTGCATTTGTACTAGGCTACAAAAAACTTCTGCCAATTCTGATTGCTAAATTTTTCCGAAATGCTTTGGTACAGTCTATCCACATCAAAGTTGTTCTATCATTTCTTATATTCGTGGTGGAAGGTGCGGTAAAGATTGGTAAAAAACATATGTGATGCGAAGGCTCCTAATTCTTTTACGACACCACCAAGATTGATTCAAATTCAAGCAGATAATAACAGGAGGAACTAAAAATGGCGAAAAAAGGATATGTACACAAGTGCTTCGCACGATTCTGACAAGGTATGGTAAATTGCGAATAATGATGGTTACGCATCCGTAAATTAATACTGAGAAAAATAAATGTGAAAAAAATATCAAAAGCAACTGGAAGCTTTTCCAACAGCTTAAAAACCAATAGTGAATCAATCTTCTGCTCGTTTACACCTGCAAAAAAGTCGAAATTACTGATGCAAAAGTACAGAACACTGCACAATGATCGTACAACTGCTTCATCTTCCTCTCAATGTATGTGAACACGTAAAGTTGATTAAAAAATTCAGCTAAAGATGGATGATTTAGGGAGAGAATTGTCTGCGCACTCCACTCCTTCATAAGGGAGATTGATTCTCTATTCTATCATGTGACGTGTTTCCAACTTGTTTTATTTTGTGGTTGTACTTATACAACAATATACCGATGAACAACCTGAACACTCATTTTGACTAACTTATCACTTACTGATGTATGCCCCAAGCACTTAGCAGATAATACTATTAACGATAGGCGTTTCTTCTCGTAACTTCAACAAGTAGTTTGCTCGGGCACCAAAATTCTTTCCAAGAATGTGATTCAATGAAATATTACTTTATCCCTGATTGAGGAGCAAAATGAGTAGCCACTTGGTCCTGTTTTGCTAAAATTCCCCTAAATCTTTAAACGTGGCTTATATTAGTTTGAAGTGCGCACAATAATGACCTTATGGGCTCCTTTAAGTGCGCGAAACATTTCCCTACTTGTAATTCTTCCTACTTTCCACTTGCTAGGAGAGGTAAGAGATCGCACCGTTTTCAATGCTAAAATGTTCTGATATCAGTTTCAGACAAGGCTAGCAGCGCTATCATCACCGTTCCTTTCTTCGGATTGACTACTTTCATAGGAAGAGGAGGTAAGCTTCCATTCCCCAAGACTGCATAGGAACTTGTATTGCTCATTAGCTTGCTTTCACTTCAAATATGCTAGAAATGCGGGCTTTTATAACATTAAGAAGAAAGTGGAAAAGTTTGCACTTGTTCAATTACATTCTAAAACTGCAAGTTCCCCATTTTCAGTTCTTGTCCCAAAGACAATAGCAATAAGTATCAAGGTGGAGAAAAGAGAGAGGAAGGTGGAAAGCGAACTATTAAGAATAAAAATTTAACAAAGTGGGGCGAAACGGGCATGATTGGCGGGCATATACCATTATTTCCCAGATGGATCTCGCAATGCCCCATCCTTTCCAATTTTCGCTGATCCTTTCGTCACTTTTATGCTCATAATCATTGCGACATTTACACCACGAAACCCTCAAGCTCAGTGCTGTATCCACGATCATTTAGACGATCCTATAAATCACGGAAGCTTGTTGTCTTGGGCTGCTATGTGCTATGTATAAAACCATGCTCTTTTATAGATCTGAAAAGCAGTATTCTCAAAAAGTAAAATCTTTTCTCATGATGAGAGAAAAATTGTTGTTCTTTTATGATTGGTATTTTGTTTTTTTAAATCTAATTTCACCAAACAAAATTCCAGCATAAAGGTTCAAAGGACTTGCAAAGCCAGAAAGGAAAAAGGTTTTAGGACTTTTCTTATTATGGCATTTGTTGATATTGAGAATGGTATGCTGCTTCCGTGCTTTTGTTAAAGGTAAAAGTCAAAGTAAGAGGCTATACGCCTTAATCTCGAGAAATGCTATGGCTATAATGAAAGAGAGATGTTTAAGCATGAAAAAGAAATACAGAAAGCAGTACAATAAAGCAATTACATGTATACAGAATGGCATGATTGCATTTCTTTTATCTCCTTGAGATCTTAACGGGAAAGCCCAGAGATGGCCTAAGAATAATTTCCGGCAATGGGATGTTCTCTTCATGTGCAACTTCGGATTTAATTGAATACCGTCGGAAGAACCACGAGAGCACTGCCTTTTCTTCAAGCATTGCAAACTTCTGACCTGAAAACGAGTGCTAATTACATAAAATTGAGTTTATTTGAATTTGATCAATAAATTAGGAGCATTTGAATATCTTTAAGTTACCTATGCAGTTTCTTGGACCTGCACTGAACGGAATGTAGGCGTATGGATGTCGATTTTGCATGTTTTCCTCATTGAAACGTTCCGGATCATATACTTCGGGATTTTTGTAGACCTTAAGATGTTTTGCTAATGATTTTCAAATTGCAAAGATTCTCATTCATAAGTTTCCGTTACGAGTTCTTATTATTGCAAAGGAAGGTGCGAAAAGGGATTAAATTGATGGCCAGAGTTGCAACATGATTGATCCTACTTGAAAACTAGGTAACTTAAAGTTTACGCGTAGC